ATTGAGAAACTGGCTTGAGATAGATATATATTGATACATAGAGATAGCATGCAAAGGCTTTTTATGGTTGACTTGAAATATGAAATAGTTATCAACAATATTCTTAACTTAATCTGTCTGTGTCATGGATATACAGCAAAAAAGCACAATATAATATTAATTATATTTGAAATGTTACATGTTTATGTTTAAGGGTCTCAGAAATTATTTATATACTGTAATTAAGAAAAATGTTCTGCTATAAAAAAAATCGGGGAAAATTTCTCCCCTATCTCACCAGCTTTTTCCCTTGTATTAAAATGAATGACTAAAGCAATAATGAGGTGAATAAATAAGATAATGAATATCTTAACAATTTCCTTACAGGATTCATCGACATTCTATCATGTTTGATAGAAGAGTGAATGAGAGAATGTACGAAGCGATTGATGGAATTAATTCCGAAAAGTAAGAATCAAAATATATTTAAAAATGTTTTAATTTATTCTTGTCCACCAGCAAGAGTCTTTTCACAGTCTTATGATGCTCTATATACTAGGTCTGTTGTATGATCTTATTTTATAATTTATTTTTGTTGTGTTTTTTTGCAAATTGATAAATTATGCATACACTGGTGTTTCATGCTCATTGGATACAAACTCAACCATACAACCACATCACTGCCCCCTCCCCCCTTTCCCAAGGAATTCGACACTACCCACGTCACTCAACAATTATTCACCTTCTAGCATCTAGCCCTTTTATATTCCTGAGTATCTATCTGTGTGTAAGGAGTGTCTTGGCTAGGGACACAAGCAAAGGGACAATTTTTTGGTTTTTGGAAATTACTGAAAAATGTGCTTCTTATATTAAGGGGAGTATGATGGAAAGAAAGATTTAGATCAAGATGATAATGATGATGGAGATCACCAACAAAAATCTTTAACCACTATGCTCTGATAATTTCATTTTTCATTGTTTGCTTGGGTCATGGTCTCGCATTAAACTGACCTACATGCTTATCTAAACAAATACCTATTAACCACTAGACTATTGGTTGATGGTGGCTACTATATGTCTGTCTCTTACATTCATTAAAAGATGGTTTGTAAATTTCAAATGCTGGTAATAATAGCAAGGCGCCATTGCATAGATTTTAAACATTTTAATTCTTAAAAAAATACGCAAACATATGGATTGTATGTATTCTATTTTTAAAATTTCCGGAATGTGGACATTAGTAACAAAACTTCAAATAACTTAAACGGTAGGCGTACCATAAACCTGCCAGTGCGTTCTTTTAAAAATAATACAGTAATTCAGCATTTCATAAACAACCAAATTTGGTATTGACATTTTACCATATTGAGCTAATTGGACTGAAAATAGAACACCGACATAATTAAGATTTAATTGCCACATGAAATAAGGAAAGACAATGACCATTGCATTTAGAAATAGACAGCCTAAAAGTGTCGGAAGAAAGGTTGAGATGGATTTGAAGTCAGCTGGCATCAGCTGTTATTTTAACTACTATTTTAACTATAATGAATATGGGCAAGGCAGTTTGGTGCAGTAGTTTAAATTGTGGTCCTTAACCTAGTGGTCATGCTGACCGTTTTCAGACAGCTGTGCTTAGATATCCCAGCTTGCATTTTTGGCTACAATTCCAACTTGAAGTATCATGATGAGATTTTTTCAGAGACCATGATAGCGTGCATTTATATTTAACATTATTATGTTAACATTATCATTTATCATCTTGATCATCATCATCATGTACATGTAACATCTCATGTTTCCACACCTTCATTATTGTATACTACTCACACTGTTAGACCCAATAAAAAAGTTATTAGTTTATCACCCTCGCATGCATGCCTTCTATGGTACTGAAAAAAAATATATATATATATTTTTTAAGAAATTTTTCTCAATCATGTTTTACTTTGAATATCAATGCACCAGCAAACAACCAAAGAGTGATATTTGGCTGTAGCAAAATAAAAAATACAAAAAAAAGCTTCCCTCCCTCATCACTTTTCCAGTCTAGATAGGGTGATAAACTCGTAATATTTTTTATAGGGCCTTATCTTGTGCATCATTGTCCCATCCACATTGATAATGTCATTTATTTTAAAGTGTTTGTTTTGTATTTTCAGTCGTCTGTGCATGAACTCGGAGGATTTAGAATTCGGCACCATGATGTTCAAAGTCAAAAACTGGGAAAAACGGGTGAGGAGATAATTATCACTCAAATTCCTTAATCCTATTAATACCATTTGACATATAAGGATCCTCTTTTATCTTTAAGTAACCAGATTGTCTATGAGGTCGTTAACCTCAAGCCTGCTTTCATTTACCTTTGATTGTTGCAATAAAGAAACACCAGAGATATCTGTTCTGTGATTGGCTGAATATAGTGCATAGCCTTTAAGCTTTAACCACACTGTCAAGTTTTTTTTGTGACAGATAACATCTCCATATATGGGTGTGATATCTCCATATATGGGTGTGATATCTTCATATATGAGTGTGATATCTCCATATATGGGTGTGATATGACATCATGTAAGGAAGTACAGATATATGTCCCTAGTAAACTTGTGTGAAAAAGAACTTTATTTACTAAACCTAAAGGTGTCTGTTAGTAATTGTAATGTACTGCATGATGAACAGTACTGTACATGAAACTGATATGCATTCACGAGAATTATTATTATTTGTTCAAAAATAACAATTTTGTTGTTTACTATATCACAGTACAGTGAGCTGGCAGATCCCTCATTCAAGTATTACATTGGTACATCATTCTTCATCTTCATCTGTATCGCGGCCACTCAGTTTTTGACGATGCGCAAGACGCCGCTTCTCTACATCTCCTTCACAATTTGCTGTCTTTTACTCTTGTGCATACTCCTTGTTGGAATGGCTGATCAACTTCTGGTATGTAACCATCTGACATTTCTTTAGTCAAATTAAACTAATCCATCAAAACCACTTACAACTGTAGTTGTCTTCAACTATGTTTTTTTCCCTTTTTTAGTGTCATAAGAAGTTCACTGCTGCCTGGATTGCGCAGATGGTTTCATCTAATAGGTCACTTCGCTGTGCTCTTGCCCTAATTACAATTACCATCACTCTATTGGTGTCTTTTGTTAATGTGGTAGGTTTTCTACTAATAATTGCAGATCCACAAAAAATGTATCACAATGTAACATGTCAAATGTCTGATTATCACACTGAGGGATATGCTGCCCTTTATGTTTCAGTAAGACTTACCATAGCAACAGGAAAAATCATCAAACAGAAGAACTATATTATCAAACTAACAGATAAACTTATCACATCATATAACAGATATACTGCCCTCTGTTGTCTAATGAGTTATGAATAAATTTTAAAAAAATACACTAAAGAGAAGGAAACTGTTTAAATAATTATCATACAAATATGTACACACTTTACCAAAGATCATATGATGTATGTCCAAAGAGAATGACTATATCTTCCATTGGTATGGAAACATTAATAATAAATTGCAAAAACTAACAGCTTATCAAATATCTACCAAAATAGCAATGTCAAGCGGCAACAGATTGCAGATTGATAGTCGACCAACGGAGTGTGTGTACAGCTTAATAATACATAGTATTTCAGATATGTAAAGGGGTTCTTAAGACTTATATTGAATTCAGGAGCAAGATAATGATGATGTTTAAATCAGCATAATAATAATAATAATATTAATAAAATTATGAAATGATTTCTTTAAACAGAGTGCAAATTAACAGTCAGCCGATATAGTGTGTTTTAGTATTATCTATTAGGGACACTTCTAAGAATTACTGTATTGAATTTGGGAGCAAGTTGATGATGATGATGCATTGTGTACATTTGCATTTACATTTTGTTTTTTTCATTTTTTTATGCTACATATTCTGAATAATCTTATCTACTGCATCTCACCAACAGATAGACTGTCCCTTAGAACCCAGTAAGGACATCTTGCCAACCAATAATCAACTCAACACATCAGCAGTAAATTCTTATAAATCTGAAGCTGGGAATAACATTGGTGAATCAAGCAATATTAGCGTTATATACACAACAGTTACTAGCATCAGCAAGGTTTCACAAGTTTGCCCGTTTCCAGCTGTAAGTGCATTTATTTTTCTATATTTTGTGGATATTCTCAAAGGAGAAACAGGGGAAATGTCATTGTCCCCTTCTCTTCCATTCCCTCCACCATCTCCATTGTCAATGTGCACCTCTCCCCTTCACATGTTCTCTTTGTATATGAAATCCAAAATAGATCATGACCTTGTTTGGGTTTTTTTTTTCTGATGAAATTCATTTTTGTGGTTGTATAGCAAGCATAGTTTTCCCTTGGCTCCACTACATCTAATGTACAAATGACAAATTACGACAGGTTGAGTTGTTTGTTCAGAGAACTTCAATTTTGATATTCCGGTTTTTGTCTTCTGAAATGTACTTTCAATACTGTACTACTGTAAGTGTATGGTTATCCAAAGTGGTTCACAAAATATAATTGAAATAACATATGAGTTTTGCATTGCCAAAATTAGCACCAGTGACAAAACATGAAAATTGACTTTTTAATATATTAATATTCTCAACATTATAAGCTTTAAAATGATAGGCATTTATTGGAATGGACTTATTATTGCCAAAGTAATGAGTAAAGTATTACAGCTTCTCTGTACAAAAATGCAATACTGTAAATTATTATGTTTATTATTATTTACATTTTGATTACTTTTTTACTTGTGATGTCTATGATTCTTGTTTGTTGTCTACTGTTATTCTTTTCAGACACTGCACCTTTAGCATCAATTTTGGTGGTGATGTTTGTGCTTTTACAAATCGTTATTATTACTATTATGCTAATAACTCAGTTTAATAATTAGCAAAAGTACACTGGTTTTGGGATGACATGTCTCATATTAAAAGTTAAGAAAAGGAAATAAGAAATTTGATTATGAGTGAATACTAACTAAGAAAAACAATCACACATTTAAGTTAGAACTAAACTACTAACAACAATAGTCATGATTGCTATTGAAGTAGATGAGATAGTTTAATGAAATTTGATGTTGTTATAAACTAACTGTTGATATTTGTAATATATTTTCTCTTTTCTAGTATATGCCTTTCTCAGCAATGCTTGCCATGTTAATGGTGATGATGTTTATGAGGATTGGCTTCCTCGTCAAGGCTGTTGTCATGGCAATTAGCTTTATTTTCTACTGTTTCATCATTCACTTAACACATCGTTCTGTTTTCGAAAATTATGATCAAGTAGCCGATAGGTAAACAATACATATATCTTTAATCATGTATATTTATGTTTCTTTCATGTGGAAAATTTAATCATCCTAAATTCACTAGCTTGCAACTGGCTGTGAAAAATAGGTTTTATGAAAACAATTTGAGACCACCTTTGGGACCTGAACATTTGGGGTGGTCTTGGTGTTGGTCCCCAGTTAAAGGGCTAGCTTTGTGTTAAAAGGTTGAAGATTGTTATCTCGGGATGTTTGATTAAACAGCATTCTTTGTCTTTCAGTGTAGATGAACATATTCCAATGGCGGTATCTACAACGATGCAGCTAGCTTTGATTTGTATAACATTGTTTCTTCTGGATAGACAGGTAAATTTTCATTCCTGTTGTAAAGCCTCTGGGTTAGTTGTTACCATTCGGTGTTACAAACACATTTAACTAAAGCTCTACTATGTCCATATAATCTTGTCTTCTGAACTTTCCATGGTGCCATAGATAAAGAATTAATATGATTGATTGATTGATTAGTATAAAAATATTTGTAATTTGAATATTGTAAAATATATTAGTAATATAAATATTATGTTTTTGTAGTGCCTTAGTTGATCACAATGTCATTTTTCAGAGCATGATTTTATTCAAAAAATAATGTTTTTTCTTTGCAGCTTTGTTATATGTCAAGATTAGGTTTCCTGTGGCAAATGAAATTTAGAGTTGAGAGAGAAGAAGTAGAAACTATGGAGTCATTGAACAAAGTGCTTCTTGAGAATATGTTGCCAGAGAATGTAGCAGGCCACTTTTTGAAACGAAAGATCAAAGCCGATGTAAGAACATTTTGTACATTATCAGTTTTTTTAATACTGCAGTTAAACTTGCCTAAGTCGACTTTACCTAACTCGGATAAAGTCAAACTTATTTTACATGCCAAATTGTTGTGTTTTCCATTAGATAACAATCTGTAAGTCAATTTTTATCCAAGTCAAACAATTTTTCAATGGCATTTTGGATTCGACTTAAGCAAGTTCAACTGCATAGAGTGGTGAAGAAGTTGATTGAGAGCAGCAAGTCTAAATACAATATTCCCAAATCTAAAACATCCAAATATTGATGTAATAATGTCGGTATGTATTAGTACCATATATTTGCTCATTATTAACACAAGGTCATGACCTCTATGCACATTATTAACCTGATTATTGAGTATTATATACTTTTTTTTTTATTTCTCTCTACAGGAACTTTACCATCAGTCATATAAACTCATTGCTGTAATGTTTGCCTCAATTCCAAATTATAAAGAATTCTACATGGAAACAGATATCAACAAAGAAGGATTAGAATGTTTAAGATTACTCAATGAAATAATTGCTGATTTTGATGAGGTGAGAGCTCGTGAGGGAGTAGGACATTGTTTCATACACACAATTTGATCATTATAATAGTTATGACAATTAATAACTAAAATTATTAGAAGATGGCATTGTTTACATTAGTGGAGCAGTGATGTTTAGGATTCAACTTCAAACAAGTTTCATCTTTTTTCTTAAGTGTAGTTTCTAGGTTGCTTGATGTTTATTATACAATATTTTTAAAATGATATTCCACTTTTTAATTGTCAAATGTACCGAGACTGCTAGGTATGTTTTATTTTTTTATACCTCAAAAAATGCATTTTATTTTCATCATAATATAATATGGTAAGATGTTTTTATTTTCTAGCTATTATCAAAGCCCAAGTATAGCTGTGTTGAAAAGATCAAAACAATAGGGAGTACATACATGGCAGCAGCAGGCCTGCACCAGGACAATGAGAACAATGATGCATCATTCAGCGATGCCTACAAGGTGAGTGATATATGCATTTGTCAAAAAAACTATTTTGGTCAATCAATCAATGTAACAGTTAAAACGTTTATACTTTCTTTTATTACTAACAGGACCAGGCATGCCAGCGCCAAGCCCTGTACTATGTTGGTGTCCTCACTGAATTTGCCATGTCAATGCAAACCAAACTAGAGCAACTAAACAAACACTCATTCAATGAATTCAAGCTTAGAATAGGTAAGAATGTGTTATGTCCTTGATTTGATAAACCAACCTATGCACTCATACAGATGCTTAGCAATCATCAGTGCTTTATTTTGTGTCTCTTCTCAACATCTTTCAGTACAACAGTAAGTTGGTTGGTTATAGTATATAAATATTTTGGAATTGATCAAAAACAGAAATTAGATAACACTTTTTAATGACTAACTGCAGAGCATACTAAATCCGTTGTTCACCGTTAAGGCCAACTCAGACAGCGTCGGCCGATGCAGCCCCACCCGATTTATCGTCGGGGACAGTCTTAAGC